GTGAGTTTTACTTTATACTCAAATGAGTAAAATGCCTAAAAAAATGAACATACACAAATGAGTTTTTGAATTTTTGGATACTCATTTTGTAAGTTATGTATGTTCATTTAGTATCTCTGTTATGCTCATTTTTAAAGTTTTTTAGCAATGTATATTTTAAAAGTCGCATATTACATTAGATTTATATAGGAGTTCATTATAGACACGAGACCACAAATCATGATTGATACTTAATTGCAGATTCTAATACTCAATAACGGAAGTTTGATGCTCATTGAAAATGTCTTGACGTTCAACAAACAAAACTTACAATTTTCATATCAATGCTCATCTTGTAAGTTACATTTGTATAGGTCTGATGCTCATTAACAATTCATTAATGCTCATTTAAAATATATCATAATTTTCATCGATCTCAATAGAGGAGGTTTGATGCTCAATTGAAATGTCGTGATGTTCAATTAACAAATTCATTAATGCTCATTTTGTAAGTTACGTATGCTCATCTGGTACATAATAGGTACGTTACTCTTTAAAAGTTCATTAATGCTCATTCACAAGAAATCGTGATTTTCATCTTAATAGTAGAGGTTTGATGGTCAATGAAAATGTCGCGATGTTCAACTAACAGAGTAACTACCAAATTCATTAATGCTCATTTTGTAAGTTCTGTATGCTCATTTGGTACTGATATTATGCTCATTTTTAAAATGGCATATCAATGCATATTTCAAAAGTATCATATTACGTTAGACCCGCATGTTGAGATTAATAGGAGTGAATTATAGATGTAATTTAATAATTTTTTATAAAAGAAAAAAAAGAATTAGAAGATATGAAGCAGAGATCGTGATACTCATTATTAGCCTCCTAATACTCAATAAAATAGGTCAGATGCTCACTAAGAGTACATTATTGCTCATTTAGCGATAGCCGTGATTTTTCGCTTAAATCACAAAAATGCCACCGTAAAAAACTATACTGTATCAGTTAAATGGATTGTCTTTCTTAATTAATTGGGCCTTTTTTTGTGGGCCATCATCAGATTTATAACATTTAACAAGTTTCTATAAAAGAGAAAATAACAAAAAAAAGTGAATTAGAAGTTATGAAACAGAGACCATGATTCTGAATATTAGACTCATGATACTCAACATAATAAGTCTGATGCTCATTAAAAGTTCGTTAATGCTCATTTAACAGAAACTGTGATTTTCATCTCAAGAGATGAGGTTTGATGCTCAATGAAAGTGATGTGATACTCAACTAACAAACCTGGCAATTTTCATATCAATGCACATTTGGTAAGTTTAATTTGCTAATGTGATACTTTTGAAATATGCATTAGTATGACATTTTAAAAATGAGCATATCATCAGTACCAAATGAACATACATAACTTACAAAGTGCACATTGATATGAAAAGCGCGAGGTTTGTGAATCTAATGTAAAATAGTACTTTAAAGCAAATGCATTGATATGACATTTAGAAAATGAACATAAGATTAGTACCAGATGAGCATTGAAATGCTTTCGATGAGTATCATGCTTATTTGGTTGAGTATTAGGAACTTAACAATGTGAATCTAATGCCATATGCAACTTTTAAAAGTTTCATGAGTATGAGATTTTAAAAATGAGCATAATATGAGTGCAAATTGAACAAATGTAACTTACAAAATGAGTATTGATATGAAAATCATAATTTTTTAAGTTGGACTTCAAGATATTTTTATTGAGCATCAAACCTTCTATATTGAGTATTGAAAACATGCAATTGAGTATTATGGTTTGTACTCCAATATCCATAACCAACTCCTACATGAATCTAAAAAATAAACTGAAACATTTAATAGTATTTTATTTTATATATTAATTGAATATAATATTAAAGTAGAAGGTTTCTAAAAAAACAAAAAACAAAAAAGAAATGAGAACAAACAAAAAACAAAAAAGAATAAACAAATGAAAAGAAAAAGAAAAAGGAACGTACGAAGTGAAAAGAAAAATAAAAGGAACGTGCGAAGTAAGGAAGTAGCTCGAGCGTAGGAGTGGAGCCTTGACCGAAAATTAAAAGGGAGTAGATCCAGCACCTCAGCCTATCAACAAAATACTGGATGTACGTACACCCTGGTGTACGATATACTCGCTCATGTAAAAGACGATGACTGTAAATCAGATGTGTTTTCTAAAAGATTTGTTTGTAAATGGATGCTTTAGCTTAATTAATCAGCTTGTTGGTATTATAGAAGCCATATGTTTAAAACACAACTTGGATTTTTAAAATACACAAATGTGCAACTTGGAAAGATCGATTCATCTCTACATCATTACATTCCAAGTCTTTAAATAGCTAGAATGTATCCCTCGTGGTGGGACAAGGAGAGTTACGATTGTATTCTGTTCATCTGGATTTACCCCACATCCAAGCTATAAGATTGTTCATATTTTTCCAGTACTCGAATTGCTTTTTTACCAAACACAATTTCAACTTGATGTTTATAACAATTGATATATACTCCCTCCTGTTTTTAATAAACTTCACACTTTCCTTTTTGGGACGGTCTAAAATAAACTTCACACTTCCTTATTTCCTTTTTTGGCAAAGAAATCTACATCAAAACAGTGCCAAACAGTGCTAAACAGTGTCTCAACAGTGCCAAACAGTGTCAAACAGTGCCTCAACAGTGTACTCTACAGTAAAGTCAAATTTCTTTCCTTATTTTGTGTGAAGTCAAACTGTGAAGATTAAAAAAAACTGGAAGTAGTATCATTTATAGCATAAGTGTTATTTTACCACACACAGGTTGGTGAATAACATACATATTTTTCACCGTACAATTGATACAACTTACATACAATTTACACATACAAAAACTTTTGTAAAAGATGTTTTAATTAATTTGTAAGTATTACGTATAGATCATGTGACACCGCACCCGGATGTACTTGAATTTGGAATTTGATATGTATTCGAATTTCCTAACGAATAAAATTCGTGTAATTGATTGGCATATTTAATTAATGTGCGATTAATTAAATTATTTATCGGGTCCAGTATATGTGACTGGGCTACCAAATATTTAGTTGGGTCATCGTGAAAATTATAGAAGCCCAATAAAGTGCCAACCAAAGTTGATAAAAATATCTGGACAACCCGAGTGCTATTTTGGCCCAACCTACCAAAAATAGCAGGAATAATTGGGAGGAACTTCCTACACCCACTTGGTGTACTCTATACACTAAAATGACTCAAAATTAAGGGAGGAGGAGCCACACATGTTGACTTGTGCGTGCAAGAGGGAGGAAACACCATGGAGACAAGTCTATTCATCCCATGTCCTCTACTTGGACTTGTCTTGGGATTGATTGGGGAGATAAGGCTACTCCTCTCCCATCCTACCATTGCCCATTCGAACCACAAGAAGAGGGAAGCTCCAGGAAACTCTCCCCACTGATTCTGAACGTGAAGAAGCACAAGAAAGAAGAAAATCCAAGGAGAAAGAAGGTTGTTCTTGAGGTAAGAATACACCTCTATTATTTAACTAGTATTGTTTGTATGATTTTTAAGAAATCATATGGTGGATCGAACATGGAGTTCTACACGTTTAAAAGTGTGGAATAATGTTATATAGGGGTGGTATTTAACTTAGGAGAGTCGTGGAACCAATAGGAGTTGAAACCACCGGAAACCGCCAAGGAGAAGAAACTGTTCGTAGTTGCAGACTACGAAAGCCGCCCGGCTTTTGGTGAAAGCCGCCCGGCTTTTGGGCTACTGTCCAGGAATTTCGCTTTTGATCGGTTTAGAACGGGGATCGATCGAAGGGCTTATCAAAGGCAACTAATCCAGCACTTCATAAGGTGAGGATGGCTGACTATGTTGTTTATAATCTTTGGGTTAATTTCGTAAGATTACCTAAAGTAGTTAAATGTTATTTTCATGGATTATTAATGATTAATAATGCCTAAATGAAAATATTGTTGTCAAATGAATAAAGGAGCATAATATACAAATTTAAGGATAAATTGTGCATGATTATGTAATATGAGCATATTGGCTTGATGAAGGGATTAACTATGAATATTATGTTGAAATATAATTTTAAACTTCATATAAGGATATATGAGTGATTAAAGATTATATTTTGTATATTGATATGAACTATATTTTCAATGGAAAATTAGTTTGAGAATTGTCTATATGACTATGAACTGAAATGAGATTTTGTTGGAATTTATCCGACTAGTATAATGATACTAGTCGGGGTTTTGGAATGAAATATGCTAGAATTGATCCAAGGTTTGGATTGTAAATTGTTGAGCCTTAAGTAGTCTTAAGAGATACTAAGGTGGATAAGTGATGCTAGGGGTAGGCCTTAAGGGATACCCAAGATAAAGTGAATAATAAATTGATCCTAGGAATAGGATTGGCCTACGGGTGTATTCGGTAGTCTTTAAGGATTAGCCGATAGAGTATTGGAAATTAGTAAGGACCATGGCCCTTCCCGACTCTAGAGAGCGGGGTTGGATAGCATGGACTTACATCGTGATCACGGGTTAGGGTGGAATCCGAACCGGAGACCTCACGAGGCTCCCGACAGCGGTAACACATAAGATAGGACCCCGAATGGACCTTACCTTCCTACGGGACGATGGGTATGAGTTCAGGGGCGGGATGTTGGACTCCGGCCCGGGGACCCGGTGAGGCCCCGGAGAGCGGTGACAAGTCTCGTAAAGGATGATAAGACCTACGGGCGGTGTCGTGCTAACGACGGGTATAATGAAATATATGAAATGGGCCGAGTGCCGACAAATAAATAAATTTACTTATTATAGAGATAATAAGTGGGAAATATAAATTATTATTTATATTATGATATCACCCTATTTTGAGGGTCTTAGAAATTGAAACATTGATTATACTTGGTATAGTTGTCATTGTACTTGTCAAATGCTTCCAAGTACTGACCTCCCCTTCACGGGGGAGGCCACCTCACAGTTTCAGGTAGGGAGTAGAGCTTGCTACCAGTGCCCGTTGCCTCGGGAAGATCTAGGAAGGAAGACGTGGTTCGTGCTTCCTCCGTCTCTATTTTAAAAACATTTCAATTAATGCTCATGGATATTTTTGAATGATTATTGGGGCTTGTATGCCCATGTTTGCCGGAGTGTGGCATAAACACTTGTATTAAACGTTTCCGCTAATTTCAATTGATTATTTTACATTATGTTTGTTTATGGATGTACTATTGTGAATGATATTCAAGACGCCTAGTATAGTATGGATGAGTTGGACTGCGGTTGACTATTCGTACTGTACGGCGGGTTGTTGACGTGTCCGGTAGGTCCGGGGCGTGACAATTTAGTTGGTATCAGAGCCTTAGTCCGTAAACTTCATAATGAAGCTTCAAAATTCTTTTGAAAATGATTTTGAAAACCATGAGCATAAAGTTTTGTACTTATAGAACTTTTGGTACTTGAGTTGCAAGGTCTCTAATTGTTAAGATGGTACCCTTAACAATTGGTATGGCGGTGATTTGAGCCAAGAGATGTCTTTAAGTACCTATCCGTCACTTGACAATTGATACGAGTCTAATGGCTCATTCTAAACTTCTTTCAGAAATGGAGCCAATTGGAAGAATCACTAGGAGGAACCCGACGGGCCGTGTACCGGGGGAATCCGAGCGCGGCAGCCGGGGGTCCACTAGGGTGTCCAGGGGAAGGGGCCGTGGAGGCCAGCAACAAACCGTGAGCGACGGTCACGTTGACACGGAGAATGAAACTTATTGGTCCTATGAGGACTCAACTTATAGGCCGGAAACCGAGCCGGTGGAAACCCCATATGATGGGGAGGATGACGACATGAGCGGGGAGAGTGACGATAATGGCACTCTTGGGAGGATTGAGGCGCTACTCGAACAATACCATCGGGAGCGTGAAGAGAGGAGGCAACGCCGAAGGCGCCGAACGGGGCAACCTTCGGGTATGGCTTCAAGAGGAGGAAGCCACAATGCATCTAGAGTCCATGTGGAACCACATGGAGGTCGAAATGATGGAGGTCCAACCATAAGGATCTCCAAGTTTATCAAGGAAGCAAGAGACTTGGGGTGCAAACCCTTTGACGGGACCGGAGATATTTCGGTTGCCGCCCAATGGATCAAGAGGTTGAATGAAGCAGCCCTTGACATGCAAATCGCGCCCAACCTTAAACTGAGAATCGCAGTAAGGTTGCTTGAGGGGATGGCATCCAAATGGTGGGATGGAACCAAGAGCAAGTATGGCGAGGATGTCGTTTGGGAGGACTTCCAACGGGAGTTCTTTGCCCAATATTATTCTGACTTTGAGGTGAACAAGAAGGTTAGGGAATACACCCTCCTAACCCAAGGGGGAAACATGACAGTGAAGGAACTTGAGTACAAGTTCCGGGATCTCGCCGACTACATACCGGAGTATGCTTGTGACGAGAACCGAATGGTGAACCACTTTTGGGACGCCCTTGACTTGGAGATACGTGATAGGGCAACACAATTGCCTAACATGACTTTTGCCCAAGTAGTAGACCAAGCCTTGAAGGGCGAGAAACAGTGGGAAGAGAGGAAGAAAAGAGACGCCGAGGAGGCGAAGAAAAGAAAATGGGAGAACCATGGCCCCCAAGGATCTAACAAGAAGGGGAACCACGGGGGAGGTGGCTCATTCAAGACCCCTGCACCACCATCGAGGGCGAATCAAGGCCCAAGCGGGCAAGGCTCGAGGTCTCAAAACTCGGGAGTACCAAGGTGCAACAACTGCAAGAAGCTTCACCAAGGCAAGTGTCGCGATCCCCCGAGATGCTACCAATGCGGGGAGGTCGGGCACATGAAGGTGAGTTGCCCACAGCTTGGGCGAGGTACAGGTTCCGGACCGAGTAGTGGGACTATGGTGAGCAGGAACCGAACGGGGGCACCGAGTGCAAGTATGGGGCACGGTGGAGCTAGCACAAGCAATGCACCGTCCGTTAATCAAGGGAGGACCCAAGCGAGGGTCTATGCGATTACGGAGGCCGATGCACGTGCTAACCCGGACTCCGTTGCGGGTAAATTCATGAACTTTTGATGTTAATTTCTTGTAAACCTTTTAAATGTTGAGATGTATAAGTTATATGGCCAACCCCGCCTGTTTAAAGTTCAAAGGAGTGGACAGATATCTGCCTGGGGCGAAAGCCGCCCGGCTTTGACGAACGTCGCCCGACGTTTGCCTACGATTTTTTACATAAATCCTACGGCGACCATAAGCCGCCCGACGTTGACGAAAGCCGCCCGGCTTTCGTGCTTGATTTTTGGTTAAATCATTCGGCGTATAAAAAACCGGCCGCGTTTCGTAAAAACCGGCCGGCTTGTGTTCAGGAATTCCGGTATGGGGCGCTGCTAACGAAAACCGGCCGGCATTCGTAAGAACCGGCCGACTTTTATAATTAAAAGGTTGGAATTCTTTCGGCGACCGAAAACCGGCCGGCTTTGGCAAAAACCGGCCGGCTTACGTAACCAGCCATTCCGAGCCGAAGGCCAAGGTACGAAAACCGGCCGGCTTTCACGAAAAGCGGCCGGCTTTCACTTATTGGTGCACGGTGTTGGTTTTGGGTGGGAACCGGGATGGAATCGGGATGGGGCGTTAGATGACGATCATCCAAACCATAGCCGGGGTACTCTTTTACCTAAGAAATGAGTCTAATAAGTGGGGAGTGTGTCTTACATTGCTTGTGAATGTAGGAACACTAAAGATTAACGGGAGAGACGCAAGAATCCTCATTGACACCGGGGCGCAACGATCATTCGTGAGTGAGGCGTTTGCCGGGGGATTCAAAGAACCACTTGTACCGATGGCTCAAGCCCTATTGGTATCCACACCTCTAGGGGAAGACATCGAGAGAGATAGCCACTATCCATCGTGTGAGGTGGAAGTGGAGGGCCAAAACTTGACGTGTGATTTCGTACCGCTGAGTATGATTGAATTCGATGCAATCCTGGGGATGGATTGGCTTGAGAAACATCATGCTAGGGTCGATTGCTACACAAAGATACTTGAACTCGAAGGCGGTGAAGGAGTAACCTTACGCTTCGAGGGGGATCGGGCCAAATCCAATAGTTGTATCATATCCGCCGTAAGGGCTAGGAGTATGATGAGAAAGGGTTGCCACGCATATCTAGCATACGTGGTAGACAAAACAAAAGAAGAGACGAGCATTGATGATGTGAGGGTGGTATGCAAGTATCCGGATGTCTTTCCAAAGGACTTACCGGGACTTCCACCCGATAGGGAGATTGAATTTGTGATCGAGGTCGAGCCTGGCACCAAACCAATCTCCATACCGCCATACCGAATGGCACCCGCAGAACTTAACGAGTTGAAAACCCAATTGCAAGAGCTTTTGGATAACGGTTTCATTAGACCAAGCCACTCCCCATGGGGAGCACCGGTCCTTTTTGTGAAGAAGAAGGATGGAACACTTCGAATGTGCATTGACTATCGTCAACTGAACAAGGTCACAATCAAGAATAGGTACCCTTTGCCTAGGATTGATGACTTGTTTGATCAACTACGAGGAGCAACTGTGTTCTCGAAGATTGACTTGAGGTCGGGGTACCACCAATTGAAGATCAAAGAGGATGACATACCAAAGAGTGCTTTCCGCACTAGGTATGGACATTTCGAGTTCCTTGTTATGTCGTTTGGGTTGACAAACGCCCCGGCGGCATTCATGGACTTGATGAACCGAGTATTTCACAAATACTTGGACCGATTCGTGATTGTGTTCATAGATGACATCTTAATCTACTCAAAGAGTGAGGAAGAGCATGAGGAGCACTTGATACTCGTTCTCGAGACACTACGGGAGAAGCAACTCTATGCCAAGTTTTCTAAATGTGAATTTTGGCTTAAGGAGATTGGCTTTCTCGGGCATGTGGTTTCAGGATCGGGAATTTCGGTGGATAACAAGAAGATAGAAACCATCACCGAATGGGAGAGGCCAAAGAATGTCAAGGAAATTCGTAGTTTCCTTGGATTGGCGGGTTACTACAGGAAGTTCGTGGAGAAGTTCTCCGTTTTGGCATCGCCATTGACAAAGCTCACTCGGAAAGGGGCTAAGTTTGTATGGGATGACAAATGTGAGAAAGGATTCATTGAACTGAAGAAGAGATTGACCGAGGCACCGGTACTTGCTTTACCTAAACAGGGTATGGGGTACGATGTCTATAGCGATGCTAGCATCCAAGGGTTTGGATGTGTGTTAATGCAAATGGGGAGGGTAATTGCCTATGCTTCACGACAGTTGAAGAAGCATGAGGTAAATTATCCTACTCATGATTTAGAGCTCGGGGCAGTGGTGTTTGCACTTAAGATATGGAGACATTATCTCTACGGGGAGACATGCCACATATACACTGACCACAAGAGCTTGAAGTACGTGTTTACTCAGAAAGAGTTAAACATGAGGCAGAGACGGTGGATGGAGTTGATAAAAGACTACCACCTGGTGATTGAGTACCATCCAGGCAAGGCCAATGTGGTGGCAGATGCCTTGAGCCGGAAGAGCTCATCTGGGGCATTGATAGCAAATTTGAGGGCATTAAGAGCCCAACTGGAGGTATCTAGCAATGGTGCCTTGTTGGCACGGTTTGAGGTGAGACCTACTTTGCTTGATGAGATCAAGAAGGGTCAGGAAACTGACGAAGAAATTATGAAGATCCGAGAACGCATGCAAGCGGGACCAGTGGAGGACTTCAGGGAAAGAGATGACGGTCTCTTATTATTTCGTGACCGAGTGTGTGTGCCGGCAGATGGGGAGCTCCGAAAGTCCATCTTAGAGGAGGCTCATTCATCGGCTTATGCCATGCACCCAGGGGGCACGAAGATGTATCGTGACTTGAAAGAAAGTTACTGGTGGTCTGGTATGAAGAGGGAAATAGCCGAGTACATCAGTCGATGCCTTACTTGTCAGCAAGTCAAGGCAGAACATCAGCATCCAGCTGGGTTATTGCAGCCACTTTCCATTCCAGAGTGGAAATGGGAGCACGTGACCATGGATTTTGTGGTAGGACTGCCACGGACCGTGAGGAATTATGATGCTGTATGGGTTGTGGTTGATAGACTCACGAAGAGTGCACATTTTCTACCTATCAACACTACCTATGCACTTGAGAGGTTAGCCAAATTGTATGTGGATGAGATCGTGAGGCTACATGGGGTTCCTATTACCATTGTGTCCGACAGGGATCCACGATTCACATCACGATTTTGGCCAAAGTTCCAAGAGTCTATGGGAACGAAATTGAAATTCAGCACTGCTTTTCATCCACAGACGGATGGACAATCCGAGAGAGTTATACAGATTTTGGAAGATATGTTGAGAGCTTGTGCATTGGAGTTCCAAGGGAGTTGGGACAACCATTTAGCACTCGTGGAGTTTGCCTATAACAACAGTTACCAGGCGAGTATTGGCATGCCTCCATACGAGGCATTGTATGGGAGGAGATGTCGTACACCTTTGTGTTGGGATGAGGTTGGCATGGCCAAGCTCGAGAGCACGGAATTGGTGGAGATCACCAAGTCAAAGGTGAAAATGATTCGAGAGAGACTTAAGGCGGCCCAAGATAGACAGAAAAGCTATGCCGATAAGCGCCGAAGAGCCTTGGAATTTAAGGTGGGGGATGAGGTATTCTTGAAAGTTTCTCCTTGGAAAGGAATCATCCGATTTCAAAGCCGAGGAAAACTAAACCCACGCTACATAGGGCCATTTGTGATTCTTGAAAGAATTGGGGCCATAGCATACCGATTGCAGTTGACTCCAGAATTGGAGAAGATACATAATGTGTTCCACGTGTCTATGCTAAAGAAATATGTGCCGGATCCGTCTCACGTGTTAGAGAAACTACCCGTGGAAATACGTGAGGATTTGAACTATGCCGTACGACCGGTGAGGATACTTGACAGGCAAGTAAAGAAGCTGAGAAGCAAGAAAGTTCCAATGGTTAAAATCCTTTGGAAAAGTGACCGAGTTGAAGAAGAAACTTGGGAAACAGAAGCCTTGATAAAGGAACAATATGCATTTCTTTTTGAATAAGCATTTGTGAATTTCGGGGACGAAATTCCCGTTAAGGGGGGGTGAACTTGTGACACCGCACCCGGATGTACTTGAATTTGGAATTTGATATGTATTCGAATTTCCTAACGAATAAAATTCGTGTAATTGATTGGCATATTTAATTAATGTGCGATTAATTAAATTATTTATCGGGTCCAGTATATGTGACTGGGCTACCAAATATTTAGTTGGGTCATCGTGAAAATTATAGAAGCCCAATAAAGTGCCAACCAAAGTTGATAAAAATATCTGGACAACCCGAGTGCTATTTTGGCCCAACCTACCAAAAATAGCAGGAATAATTGGGAGGAACTTCCTACACCCACTTGGTGTACTCTATACACTAAAATGACTCAAAATTAAGGGAGGAGGAGCCACACATGTTGACTTGTGCGTGCAAGAGGGAGGAAACACCATGGAGACAAGTCTATTCATCCCATGTCCTCTACTTGGACTTGTCTTGGGATTGATTGGGGAGATAAG